ATGGTGGCTGTTGGCCCAGAAAGCTGACTTATGAATTTTCGGAACTCCCTAACAGGGACATGCTAGTCTTTCCTGTGCCTCATCAACACGTGTTGGGTAGGGCCACCATGAACACTAATAAGCAGAGCAAGTGCTTTCTCACTCCCTAGAGTCTATGTGGCGTGGAATCCACAGCTCGCGTCCTGTGAAGTTTGAGTAGGAGTTTGACCCAGCATTTCGTTGCCACGATATCCCATTTACCTAGCTTTCTAGGGTTTGTCATCTGTAGCATTCAGTCGCATGATTCCTTACCACATTTTTATCCCCTTTGAAATCCCAGGAGCCCAACATGTTGCCTGTGAAAGATTCACTGAGATTTAACACATATTTTCGTATTTTATAACTGCCAAAATGAGAGAAATTGCTTTAACTAGCAAAATAAAAAATACCGTCTGATGTTTTGCACAGCATAGAGCCAAATACCAACTTTTTTTTTTTCTTTTTTTTTTGAGATGGAGTTTCACTCTTGTTGTCCAGGCTGGAGTATAATGGCACGATCCTGGCTCACTGCAGCCTCCGGCTCCTGGATTCAAGCAGTTCTCCTGCCTCAGCCTCCCAAGTAGCTGGGATTATAGGCGCCTGCCACCATACCTGGCTAATATTTTGTATTTTTATTAGAGATGAGGTTTCGTCACGTTTGCCAGGCTGGTCTTGAACTCCTGACCTCAGATGATCCACCTGCCTTGGCCTCCCAAATTGCTGGGATTACAAGCATGAGCCACCACACAGCCTCAAATACCAACTTTTTCATGGACAGTTGAACTTAAATGATAACTGTGATACTAAAAATAAAATGACTATGGGAAAACTTATAAAATGGTCCGTGATGTCATCACCTAAAGACAATGATCATTTTCTTTTAGTCTTTTTTCTAATACCTAATTTTTACATAGCTGTAACATGGGACAATACACATTTTATCTTCTTTTCTGATTTGCATTCTCGATGATTTTTCCATACTGCTTCATAGCAGTCATTTTTCATGTCTATAATACTCAGTAGAATGGCTGTACCATTGTTTACTTACACCATGCCCTATTGCAAGAGATCTAGATTGTTTCCACATCATTTTATCATTATTGTACAAACCACTACAGATACTAATGCTTCAAGTTGTTTGGTTTTTTGTTGCCAGTATAAACCAAAGTTTCCAGGCACCAGTGGTCTAAACTGTCTTGTCTCTGGAGGGCATCTATTTCCATTTCACTTATGTGACATCATAGCAGGCTTAGAGTGACCAGTAATTGATTTTTAAAAGTGTTTTGTATATTGTGACATGTCTTCTAGAGTTTTAAGGTTAGAAAAGCCTTCAAAGTAGAAAACCTCATACTTTTTCTCTTGGTATCCATACAACTTCATTTACTTATGCCTATGGTGTATGCTAGTGACAGAACTGAGGTAGAAATTTATTCTGAGACTCTGGCCCTTTTGAAGTTGTTCAGAGAGAAGAAACTTGGGAGAATGATTGTGTTCTGTGATAAACCCTCATCTGTCAGGTTGGTGGGGAACTTGCACAACTCTTTTTTTTTCTTCTTTTTGAGACAGTCTCATCCAGGCTGGAGTGCAGTGGCACAATCATGGCTCACCACAGCCTCAACATCCCAGACTCAGGTGATACTCCCATCTCAGCCTCCTGAGTAGCTAGGACAACAGGCACCTGCCACCACGCCTGGCTAATTTTTGTAGAGATGGGGTTTCACCATGTTCCTCGGGCCGGTCTTGAACTCCTGGGATCAAGCAGTCCTCCCACCTCTGTCTCCCAAAGTGCTAGGATTACAGGCATGAGCCACAGTGCTTGGCCAGAACTTATATAACTGTTTGCCCATCTATAGAAGCTGTGTAAAGACTTCGGTACTATGTCTTGATAGGGACTGACATTTTAATGTCTGAGGCCAAGCAAGGGAAGAGCATGTGTCAGCCATAGTTAACTCTTAGGAGCTATCCCCACATCACTCAGGGAAACACAGTGAGATTGGAACTGGGTGTTTATAGAATCTGTTATAAGAATGGCATTGCTTTATCTTTAGAGAAGGGACCAGTGAGCTGCAGGTGGCTAATATCCACTTCTAGACAGATTTGATCGAATAAAGATGCAGATTGTCCTAGATAGAATGGAGATGAACCTTAAGTTCGTGCACCAGTGGATGCAACATTTTATGTTAGAGCAGGGCTGTTGTATTACTGGGAAGAAAGAGAAATGCGCGAGCAAGTGGTGATTTTATTTTTTAAAACACTTTATAATGGATCCTTAGCTCAAGCTCACAAAAGAAGCTTTAGAATTCCAGAGCAGTTTGAGTTTGAAAAAAAAAAAAAAGATAATAAAAGTTCCCCTCTCCATGCAGGGGGAAAGAATAGTGGCTTCTGAAACCAGAATTCTCACCTCTGCAACCTCACCACAATTCATCATGTGTTTAGCATTCAAGGAAGAGGATGGACTCTTTGGTCCTGTGAGGAAACTAATGCTGCACTGGGTTACTGTGTTTGCTTTTCAGCTCTGGGAGAGTGAGATGAGTTGGGTGGTCTCAGCCTCGGTGCCCATTCATCCACACTACTGAGCAAGTGCACAATGGACTCATTCCCTAGTGGGGTGGCAGGCAGATTGAGGGCATTTACAAGGTAGTCACAGTCCTATAAAAACAGGTGTTGTTTTTAGTCAGGCAGAGTAACAAAAAGATGGGGATGAGTGTATGGAATAGAATCTGTGTTTTGGTTTGCCTCTATTGGAAGGAGGAGCAGATAGCAGCTTTTTCCTATCTGCCACAATCGTTCTCTCAAATTTCTTCTCTCTGAACAACTTTTTCCTACTGTAAACCCTGAGCCTAACCTACTGCCTATCAATTGGGGTTAACAATAGAGAAGGTAAAGAAATGGCTGTGACAAACAAACATGGAAAGTATTATTTGATGCCCTTACCTACCGCATCTTGAGAATGCATTTGAAGAGTCAATATATAGAAGAGAACCAGTAAGCAAAAATCAAAATGATGGCAAATAAGGAAGCTTCTGGGTGCAAGAGAACTTAGGTCCCTGAAACATTAATTAAAGGCTCCAAATGTAGACATGTTCAGGAGTGGCCCATCACACTGTAAGGTCTGAAACCTGCAACGCAAAGTTCCGTAGGATCAGGTGTGAGCGGGGCCAGGAGATGGGAAGTGGGCCATGGGGGAACTGGTCTAGAATGTTACAGCACCTAGTTAATCGGCAGCCAGTCCATCACATTAAACATCCAGCTGTCATGTATTACCTTTCAAGTGAAAATGAATAACTCCCATTAAGAGCAAAATGGGTTTGAAGTCGATTCGAGACAGATTAAAGTACTGTTATGAATGTGTGTGTTGGGAGGAGGGGGATCTGTGTGTAATATGCTTGTCCTTGTACTTTTTAAATAATAGATGTCCTACAAACTTACGTAGACCAGGTTACCGAGATACTGGGGTTAAAGGTCACAAGATGTGCATTCTGGGAACAGCATCAACTTCCTGGAATATATTTCCTGCATTTGGCACATTTCTTTTCAAAATTATATTGTGGCCTTATGACTTTAATGAATAAAATTGATTTCCTAAGATTGTTTATTAAAGTACACATCTATAATGACAGCATCTTGGTGTCCACATCAGAACAAATTTCAAACCCAAGCATAAATGGAAATACATGCTAGATAACTAGACAGGGTAAAACAGAAAGCAGTTTAACAAGGAATAAAAATTAGGCTTTCTAATCCAGTGACCTGAGTGCTGAGTCACATTATTTTTTCATGAGGGCAGTGGGTATATATTTTCTCACTACCACTTTCATGAATTTTAAGAATTTTAAGCAAAATTCTGAAAAATGGAGGACCACATTCAAAACAAATGAAAGAGCCGACACTCAGAAACTGACCAGGTTGTGGAACAACCAGATCCATCCACACTGGAATTTGTGTTTAAACTGGAGGAGCCTTTCTTATCCTGGATAAACCCTTAGCCTGGCTGTTTTCATTTGAAAGTGTTTGCCTCAACTGGAAGGAGGAACAAATAGCAGCTTTTTTTTCTAATTATAAACCCTGAGCCTAACCTAGTGCCTACTGATTGAGGTTAAACAATAGAGAAAATAATGTTTCCTTTCCCTGCTTCAGAGAACTCCTTCCACCAGCACTTCTGTACGTGCTGTCTGCTACTCAGTCCTTATGGGCAGCTTCTCTTTAATTAGCATTTGGTTTTTTGGTGGTAGAGGCAAGAGGGGTATGGAGGCATGGCTTGGGTAAGCAGATAGGAAACTGTCCCTCTTCCCACCCACTCCGAATAAACTCTTAGGTTTGGAGCATTGGCTGGATTATATCTTGGATTCATACCCTGCTTAGTTCTACTCCCCAATTATTTCTTCCCCAGTATTAAACTCCAGAACCCAAACTTGATTTTCCCCCCCACATATTTGGTATGCCGACAGCCATGTGAACCTTTCTCAAATCACATTCGTCATGTTGCTGGTGCTGTGCCATGTTGTGATTCCAAAAGGAGGGACAATAAAGTTGAGAGCACCTCTCTTCTTAGATCTCTGAAACAGAGCATGTCTGGTACTCAGGGTGGCAAAGCAAAACTTCCCACCCACCCTCAGCCCTACTGCCCCCCACAAGCCAGCAGATTGTGTCTAGATTGGGGGAGGTTAGAACAGACAGAATTTAGCTTAATCCAACTCCAAAGCCTTTTATTCCATTTCTTTGCCTTCTTTTCCTAATGTTCAGTTGTTAACATAGTGACAGAAATTCATGGGGGAGAAAGAAACACTTGCTTCTATTCCAACATGCTTGATAAATCAGTCCGGATGTTCATCCTTCTTGAATTTTGGTGTTTGAAGAAAATCCTGTGCTATAAATGAATGTTGATTTTCACCCAACACAAACCCTCTGGGAGCTGGCCTGGCCTGGCTGCTGTATTGCATCTTCTACTTTCTCTTCTAGCATCGTCCAGCCAAGCAGAGAAGGAGCTGACAGATTCTCCTGCAACCTCCAAACGCATCTCCTTCCCAGGTAGCTCAGAGTCTCCCCTCTCTTCAAAGCGACCAAAAACATCTGAGGAGATCAAACCGGAGCAGGTGAGGCTGGAAGGGACTCTGCTGGTGGGGGGTGAGATGTTGTAGACATTGGTGGGGAACACACACTTTTGGGTGGCTGGGCTTGGGGCACACACAGTTGCTCAGAGCAGTGGGTGTGTTCCCCACAGATGTACCAGTGTCCCTACTGCAAGTACAGTAATGCTGATGTCAACCGGCTCCGTGTGCATGCCATGACGCAGCACTCGGTGCAGCCCATGCTTCGCTGCCCCCTGTGCCAGGACATGCTCAACAACAAGATCCACCTCCAGCTGCACCTCACCCACCTCCACAGCGTGGCACCTGACTGCGTGGAGAAGCTCATTATGACGGTAAGGCAGCCAGGAGCAGCACCCTGTGGTCTTTCTCCAGGGTCAAAGGTGGCTCAGTAGCAAGATACCGTGTTATTGGATGAGAAAGCCAGTGTAGAGTTGGGAACGTCAGGTAATGGTTCTCATTCTGTGACCTTTGTTCTACCATCCCTGTCTTAGACTTGGCATGACCATAGCCCAAAGTGCTGAACATGTGTCCCTTAACATCCTCTCTCTCCTCCAGGGACAGAGGCATGGATTAGCTAACCATTGATGTGAAGAAATCATCATTCAAATTCTTCAAACCTTTACTGAGCAGGTCATGGACTAGATTGCTCTTACCTTCATTATGTCTCATTTCATCCTCATAAGAAACTCTATTTTTGTTTTTGAAGGGAGCCAGGTACATTAGGTCACACCTCTAATCCCAGTTCTTTGGGAGGTCAGGGTGGGGGGATCGCATGAGGCCAGAAGTTTGAGACAAGCTAGCTAACATAATGAGACCCTGTCTCTACAAAAAAATATTTTAAAATTAGCCAGGCATGGTGGTGTATGCACCTGTACCGCTAGCTACTTGGGAGGCTGAGTTGAGAGGATCTTTTGTGTTTTTAGTAGAGATGTGGTTTCACCATGTTGGCCAGGAACTAAACTTGAGCCCAGGAGTTTGAGGTTGCAGTGAGCTATGATCAGGCCACTGCACTACAGCCTGGGTAACAGAGGGAGACCCTATCTCTTCAAAAAAAGAAAGAAAAAATTGTTTTGCCACATTCCCATCAGCACATAAGGAAACTGAGTTCAAAGATGTTAACTGACTTGATGCCATTTGTTAAGGAGCAGAGTAGAGATTTGAACCCACAATTTTCAACGCTAGGGATAGCCCTGTAATGGAGGAGGAGTTTCTCAGGAGATACTTTTATTCTCAAAGCAAGAAAATGTACAGCTGGATATGTTGATTCGTGGATGTGGGTTTTGCATTTGTGAATATGATATTGCTAGAGCTGCAGATTTTGAAGGCATGACTCTTAAGTGACCACTGTAAACATGGCCTAATTAGTATAAAGATGTAAATCTAGCTGTAACATGAAAACTTTTCAAAATACTGCCGGTGGTGGTGATATCCTAGTTTTGACTACGCTGGTGCTATGAAAGCCCTTTCCTGGGTGGACGCAGTGGCTCAGGCCGGTAATCCCAGCACTTTGGGAAGCTGAGGCAGGTGGATCACCTGAGGTCAGGAGTTCGAGACCAGCCTGGCCAACATGGTGAAACCCCATACTAAAAATACAAAGATTAGCCAGGTGTGGTGGCAGGTGCCTATAATCCCAGCTACTCAGGAGGCTGAGGCAGGAGAATCACTTGAACCCAGGAGGCAGAAGTTGCAGTGAGCCCAGATCACGCCACTGCACTGCAGCCTGGGCAACAGAGCGGGACTCTGTCTCAAAAAAAAAAAAAGACCATTCCTGATAATTAGAGGAAAAGCCACCAAAGAGAATTATTCTCACCTCTTTCTTAGCATTATTTTTAGCAGTGGACTAATTGGAAGTTAATTTGATTGCCTTTTCATGTGAAGATTCCCAGAGAGGTAGTCTGTTCACAATTCCACGTTATAATGTGCAGGTCACAGACATATCACCTCTAGGCATTTCCTGTTCCATTTGGTTCTGCAGAAATTAATAATGTTGTAAGCGATGTTTAGTCGTGAAGAACATATAATTGACGATGCATCAAGACAACTTGAGCAGCCCATGGGAAGCTCAAAGGGGACCTAGCATGAGTTGCCTTTCTGAGATCTTTCAAGTATGAATTAACTTTCTGTAGGTATTTGGCTGATGAATATTGTGTAAAGATTCTCTGTAAGTGAAAACCTCCTTTTGTGGACCAGTGAGTTTGTGTTACTGGTTTCCTCAGCGTTCTCATCAGCCTTGGAAGTAACAGGCCTCATTGTACTTCCCAGCTAATGGCCTGGAACCATGGGAGCCTGAAGGAATAGAAAGAGATGTGGGGAGGGAAGCATTGTCAATACTGAGCTACATTTTTCTTTTACTCAGGTGATTATTTTTGCTATTTAATATCAATCTAGTTTAGGAACTGTGGGCCTATAGTAATCAGCATGACTGGTTTACATTAGACAGTAAAAATTTCATTTATGTTATCCCTAGGGACTTGAGTATAACTTATATTTCAAATATTCATTGTTTGTTATATTTTCATAACAGCAATAGCAAGGTAAATTTCACATGGCAAGTGTGGTGGTCATTGTGAATCTTCTTCATTTACCAATGGAGTCTTCAAGGGCAGGATATTACTGCTGCATTTGCTTGGGTACCAATCCCTAAGATATTTCTGGAAGTTACCCAGTAACCAGCATCTTCGAAAGCAGTGATTCTTGACCTTTATGGAGACTCTGATGAAAGCTATACAGCCATACTGGATTATTCTTTGCACACTGATGTTTGATACCAGTTATTGACCGTCCATCAAGTATTTTGCAAATATAAAATTGTGTGTACAATGCCAGGGAGCATAAGGATACATCATGGGACTGGTCAATAAAAACTGTTCTAGAACCCCTGACAATATAATTATTTAGGAGACACTGCTCCCTAAAGGGGCTGTGCTTAGTATCTTGTATAGAAACCCCTACATGCTTCATCTTTCCACAGCAGACCCTGGAGATGTTTTCTAGACATTTCTGAGAAGTGTGCAGGTTGTGGGAAATGTACTGGTAATGGGAAGTCAATTTGTTAGCAACATGACAAAGTTAATGAATTCAGGAGTAAAGTTGAAAGTTGTGAGAAATGTAATCATATACATATTTTACTTTTTACTGAGAGATGTATATGCAAGGATGAGTTTTCTCTTTGCATGAGAAGATGTAGTTATGGCATGGCTGTCAGTACTAAACTGGTTTCTCCAGTCATGGTGATAGTTTGCATTGAGCCAAACTATGCATCTCTATCTCAGTCCTTTAGTTCAGCAGGAAAAAAAAAAAAAAAAGAGCAGCCAGGGTTAGAGGGAATTCGTCAGCCTACCACAAGGTGAACTCGAGAGCCTGTTCAAGGACTGGAATACTGATCTTGGTTTCTGCCCTGATGAATCAAAGCAGATGCCAGTGTCTTTCCTCTGAAAATTTTGGTGTAAAAATAGAATTTGCAATTGTTTTACAACTAAGTGATTATAATGAACCTGTGGTTAAAATCATGCCATGGGAGAGTATTTTACTGTCATTTTATTAGAAAACTGGCTCCAGGAAAATACTGGTTAGGCTTTCTAGCGATATACTGTATCTGTTTGTTCATGGACAAAAAGAGCAGGAAACTGAAAAGAGTATGGATGAAAAATGGCCCTCTAACCGAGGCTCCATTTTCTAAACCATATCATTAAGGAATGGCCAGTTCTATGGTCATTCATCCTCCAGGAGAAGAAAGTTATATCTGCTTTGTCTCTGACTGGCTAGGATGAATGGCAGCAAGAGGAGGGAATCTTCTTTCTTTCCAAATGGTTGACTGAGTTAGTTGCCGTTGGCTGCAGAATAGGAAAAGCTTGCAAAATCTCCCAAATAGATGATTCCTGGCAGACAAGGGGCGTGTCAGGGGTATTTACAGCTGTAAATTCTGGTAAATATTTTTTGCTCTCTGGGTCCAAAGTCTCAGGATTTAGCTTGAGTTCGGTTCTGTCCCACTAAAAGTAAATTCCACCCTGATAAATGGAAACAGATTACTTTCTACACAACATCTTTCTGTTCAGTTGTAAATGGAGTGCGTTTTGAGGAGGCTTCATTTAATAATACCTTATCAGACAGCTTTCAGGAACCTGCAGTGTCTAATATGTCTGTTGCTATGGTAACACCTGCTTGCTTATGCTGTGCATCTCGTATCTATGTCTTCCATGGGCCCCCTTCTTCTTACTGATGAGGGTGCTTGAGGAATATTCACCACTAGGAACAACTAGAGTGCTGGCCCTCCACTATGGAGACCGCACCCACAGCACTTCATTCTTCTTGGCCTACTGGAAACAGAGCTCCAAAGAGTGTCTCCGCACACGTCATATGAAAGAAGGAAATCTATAAAGCTTAACAGAGATGAGACAAGGGCTCCTCCACAACTGGCTGGGGAGTCCGCCCCCAGTGTCAGTTTCACATAAGAACTCTCACCTATTTACAAAGAAGCTTGAGATTTCAAATTGGTGAAATGAGATGTAGGAGCTGCTGTGTAGTGGCCTTATTTTCCTAATCTTTCAGGAAGTGAGGGTGGAAGGCATGGGGCCCATGTTTCTGGCCCCGGGATGAGAATAGGAAAGACCATCTACCATGCATTTCAATACTCTTAAATTATTCTAATTGATCACTATCTTTCTACATGACAGAACACACCACTGGGATCCTGAAGCACTGGTATGGGGAAATTTTCTTTCTTCTTTCAACATTTAACAGAATATGACCTCACAGTGGAGAAGGGATTGGTTCCTGGGCAGCTTAGGAACACCTTCTCTAGCCCTTTATCTTTACCCCCTTTGGTAGCTCTTAATTATTCTGTAATTTTTGCACCTGCACAGATTTCCCTTCCATGCCCCTGGCCCTGCGTTGCCTGCACTTTTCTCTATATTCCCTTTTGAGACCACTAGTTTGTCCCTTGCGATTTTTTCCGTCAGTGTCTGACTCTCTGTGCCCCATGTGTGCCTGTGTGTCTGAGTCTCTGGGCCAGACTGGTCATCCGGCTCCCCAACACTGGAGCTCTTCTTGGGTGGCCACTGGCCTGGGGGCTGTCACACCCACCTGGGTACCAGCTCTCTCACTTTATCTCTAAGAGGAAGGTAATGACAATAATCGGGCTTCATTAATTCCAAGCCCTGTGAGATGATAGCCATTTGGAGCCTGTTTGCCAATTAGATGGTCTAAATTAGAAGTGACCTTGGTATACTGCCACTGCTTGCCTTTCGGAGTCTAATGAAGCTTTTCTCTCCAATTCATTCTCCTCCTCACCTCTCACTCTCTCTGTGCACATGTGTATACCTCTTCATGTGTTTCCTGTTCTCCCACCCACCTTTTCGATCTTTCTCATCCTCAGTTTTAAAAATGTGGTTCTGAGGTACATTGGTTTCCAGCCCACATGAATGTTACCACAGCCCTACAGTATTTTCTTCTGAGCTTTATGTATTTAAAAACTGAATGAACTACCATAGAGAAGCAGTTTTAGAAAGGAAACAAGAAGGCCAAGGTGAAAGGATGGCTTGAGTCCAGGAGTTTGAGACCAGACAGGGCAACATGGCAAGACGGTGTCTCTACCAAAAAAAAAAAAAAAGAAAAAAAAACATTGCCGAGTATGGTGGTGTGTACCTGTAGTTGTAGCTACTGAGTAGGCTGAGGCAGAAGAATCAAACTCCGCAGTTTGAGGCTGCAGCAAGCCATGATCATGCCACTGTACTCCAGCCTGGGTGGCAAAGTGAGGCTATCTCCAATTAAAAAAAAAAAAAAAAAGGAAATGGTACAAGGAGAGGAGAAGCTGGGCCTCTTAGACTCCATGATCCAGTGCTCTCCCTGGCACGTGTAGAAGGCAGTAAAGGCAGGGGAACCCAATTCTCAAACTCTACTGGCAAGATGTGCCTGGTTTGCTGGCTTTAAGTGTGCAGAAACCAGCTAATAGGCTGTCTAGATACAGGGAAGGAAGTGAGCAGCTGGCTTTAGGTACAGCACTCGCTAGATTGCTCAGCCCTAAAAGCAGTTGGGTTTTAACTTGATGCTTCAATGTTTTGGGCAGAACCAGCCTCATCTACCAGGATGTAAAGACTGGTTTGGTCTGTGCCAGAGAGGTCTGTGCCTAAGCCTCTCTCCTTTTTGTCTGTCTGAAGTTCTTCATTCTGTTGACTTTCAATTAAAAGTAAAGGATTTGAGGCATCCTTGGGAGCCTAGGTGTTGGCAGATCTACACTTTTCACCTAGAATAATGGATTTTTCAGAAAGAAGTCCTAAAGTGAGCAGTGCCAAGGCAGTAGGAATAGGGTCTCAGAGAAACTACGTTCACCACTTTTACTAAGAAAATATCTCTGCTGGTTGGGCGTGGTGGCTCACACCTGTAATCCCAGCACTTTGGGAGGGTGAGGCAGGCAGATCACCTGAGGTCAGGAGTTTGAGACCAGCCTGGCCAATATGGTGAAACCCTGTCTCTACTAAAAGTACAGAAAAATTAGCTGGGTGTGATGGCACATGCCTGTAATCCCAGCTACTTGGGAGGCTGAGGCAGGACAATCGCTTGAACCTGGGGGGCGGACGTTACAGTGAGCCGAGATCATGCGGTTACCCTCCAGCCTGGGCGACAAGAGCGAAATTCCATTTCAAAAAAAAAAAAGGAAAAGAAAATATCTCTGCTTTCTAGCACATGGAATGCGTCAGGGACATCTATCTAACTTAGGCCAGCCTGTCTGTGGGTAGCCTTGAGAGATGAATGGGCATGAACAATCCCATAAGAACTTAACAAAGGGTTATCTTGGCTGCACAGGGTGTTTGCCCTTCCACATCTGTGATCTGCAGGCGTTGGGGTAGGTGGCACGATGGTGTTCCTTGTAATTCCAGCTTCTACCAAGAAATTATACATTGCAGCAGCCCCTCGCAAGTATCAAAGTGCGAGACCAGACCAGACCAGTACCTCAGACACTGGGCTGTGTAAGGTGGTCCTTGAGGCCTTAGGTTCCACTCACCTCACAGAATCCTGAAAAGCATGCAAACATAATCCAAAATGATAATGAACCAAACTATGATACATACGCAGTTTTAATACATACCTTGGAACTATATATTTATGAACCTATGTCCCCTCTCCTATTAGATCAAGGGTACTTTACTTAAGTATATGGATTTCCCTCTGGGGAACTTGTGATTTCCTGTAATCATCTGGAATATTCTTTCTGTGAAAGTATTTTCCTAGGAGTCTGCAACTTTTATTAGATTTCTAAGGCTTTTATGACCTCTGAAGTTTTAATTATTCTGGATCATAAGCTTCTTGGGGACAAGGACTTTTGTCTTGCCCTCTGCATCTCACAAGCATACAGCACGTGGATCCTGTACAGCGTTTCGTAAATGATGGTCAAATGAATGAACTGAGAGTCACTCAAGGCTACTCCTTCTCAACTGTGGTATTTTGGAATTAACTTAAGCCAACATTTTTAGCATCAGTGTGGAACACTTCTGTTTCTATTGTATATGAAAATTGCTTAAACTGGGAGGTATTCAGTCTTGGAGTAGAACTCCACATTTCTTTTGTTATGCATGAAACCTGTTTGTTAGGGATATATCAGAGCCACTGTTTGCTTCTAAACTTTCTGCAACCCAGTCAATTGATGGTTTCTTCCTAACTTGCCATGAACTGCACATGTGCTCTGGGAGGAGAGTAGGTTAATTGGCTCAAAAGATATGGGAGGAAAACATATGGTGTCTAGAAGATCACCATGGTAATGCCTTTTGCATGGAAGAGGCCAATCTTGAGAGACCCAAATGCTGTAATGACTGTAATGAACTGCATTTTCTTAACCAGAAAAACTTTTTATTGTTACTTCTCAGGTTCATTAGTGAATAGAGTGGGGGATGTAATTTAGTGTATTAAATGTTTACTGATGTATGGATTATTGGAATAATCAATGTGGATGGTACAGTCAATGTAGAAAGTGTAGGTGTTTGGGCTGATTGTATACTGTCATCTGGCCAAACCTTAGAACTTTTTTTGTTTGACTGTCAAGTACATGGCTGGAAGTATGGACATTGTAGGATTGTGGCCAGAGATGGAGAGGGGGAGAGGAAGAGACAGAAAGCATGCATGTAGGTTGTGCAGGAAAACTGGTGGTAGGACCAGTTATTTGAGGGCCTCTGAAGTTTGGCACACTTGGCATGACCAAGTTATGCTACAACCAGGTTTTGCCTTCTTACAAACCTACATGGTTCAGTGTTTCTGGCAAAAGGGAAAGTCTTTACAGAACGGTGCTCAGTACAGCTGGGATTTATTTATTTATTTATCTATCAAGAGTCTCACTCTGTCACCCAGACTGGAGTGCAGTGACACGTTCTTGGCTCATTGCCTCCTGGGTTCACGCGGCTCTCCTGTCGCAGCCTCCTGAGTAACTGGGACTACAGGCATGCACGACCACGCCTGGCTGATTTTTGTATTTTTAGTAGAGTTGGGTTTCACCATGTTGGCCAGGCTAGTCTTGAACTCCTGACCTCAAGTGATCTACCTGCCTCAGCCTCCCAAAGTGCTGGGATTACAGGAATGAGCCACCATGTCCGGCCAACAGCCGGGTTACTGACTTTCCCATTTTCAGCTGTCCATCAGAGACTATGGCTGGGACAGTCTGAATTCCATGCAGGTTAGTAGCCAGGTGTGATTGGAAAACAAAGGGGGTGCCAAGGCAAGTGTTGAAGGAAATCTGCTTTTGGATATATCACCTCAGTGAGCAGAAGGACTCCTCAGTGCGCTCTGTTGGCAGGATTGTTTATGGCTCTTTTAAGATAAAGCATGAAAGCTTTCAGTGAAAAGCTTTGGAAGCTGGTAGGAGATGGAAGAATGGGCAAAGGCACGGGAATTAGTGTCTGATTGCTGACATCAGGCCCTCCAGTAGCTTCCATTCTCAACCTCTGTTCAGACACATGTGCAGATAGACCCCACTTGAATTTCTAGATCCTCAGGATTCTCTTTAGGGATCTTCCTCTTTGCCTCCTGGGAATTTCTTGCCCATGAAAATTTCATATACCAACCTGCCGCCTTTTTTTTTTTTTTTTCAGGGAGAGGTGGGGTACACTATAGATGAGAAGATGCAGGTGGATAAAAGTAGTTACTTAAACACATATGGGGCATGGCTTACAGGTTTGGAGGCCCAGATTAAGATGCAGAGGAGGATGTGAGGTTGATGATTATATTTCGGGGAGAGTTAATTGATGGAAGGTGAAGGCAGACAAAGAACCGCTGCTTACTGCCTTCTTGAATCCCAATCAGGAATTATGATTAAAGTCGCAGCGAGACAACAGAGGGCTGATGAATTGGTGTCTTTTTTTTTTTTTTCTTTTTTGCCGTCATTCACACTTGATTGACTTCAACCTTTCAAGTGCAAAAGTCTCTCTTTTCCATTATTATTCATAGCCATCTGAGTTTTTCTAATTAAAGTGTATGAAAACAATTACTGATCCGTCGTACTGAGTCTGTTAGAGGGGATGTCTGCCTTACTGTAATGCGTATGAAAAGCCCACAGTTTTCTATAATGATGTGCAGCTGAGGTGTTAGATAATTTTATTCTTTTTTACTCTGTAGGGCTTTTTTTTTTTTATTTCTCATGATTCATTTTTCATAATTCCTAAAGATCCCGGGAAAAGACTGATCCTGCAGCTACAACCGAGAAAGGAGGTTGGGGGGAGTCTTTTTTCCTTTCCCTTTCTCCCCCTCTTACCCCCCACCTCGTGCTCCCCCTCGGCTGAGGACTATAAATTAATCGGTGACCTTTCACTTCTTGGATTCCCGCTGGACTCCCCAACCACACTGGTCAGAAATACCTTCTATTAAAAAGAAAATAGATGGAATGAGTTTGGCAATCTCCACTCCCTTCTTAACGATTCATCAACAGCTAGCTTTAACCAGCTGCCGATGAGCTTTGTGTGTGGCGCAGATGTCTGTGGGGGCAAGAATGCGATGTCACACACATTCACCTGCCACACACCTGCTCTTCATAAACATAGTGTTTCTCAGAGTGGTTCTCCATAGAGCCTATGGCTTACTTTTTGCACCCGTTGGCATCTGGGTTGCTAAAATAATTTTAATACTCCTAAATGTGATGGGGAGTTATCTTGTGTTGATGAGGGTGGCTGTCTGGGTTTCCTCTAGTCATCAAGCCTATCGCTGATATTCTAATGGACATGTCAGTAGCTATTTTGGGCAAGGCTAGGATTTTCACACCATTAAAAATTAATAGTAATGTATTTAAAACATTAATTTTGAAGAGAAATCTTAAGTATTCCAGTCTTTGCAACAGATAGTGAAGATGGCTGTGCAGTATGGTTGTGTTTGATGGAAAAATGTCTCCAAGTGGGGCTGGGAGCCATGTAGAAAGGTTAGTGGTGATTGTAGTTTCTGGTCCTGTAACTTCTGCGTCAGTCCATTTCTCCAGCTGTCATCAAATGGGAGGTGGTTTCTGATTCATTTGAAATATCATCGCCACCTACCCTTCCCACCCCATATCAGGCAAAAGGATGTTGCTTCTGTTTGAATGAAGAACCTTTGATCCTTCCATTGGTATCGAAGACTGTTGATCACATTAACGTAGGGCAAATGATAACTTGTCTGGACAGGCTTCTGGCTGTATGGCTGGGAGGCCTAGAGAAATATCTGAGGATCTGCCATAAAATTGCAGCTATTTGCATCCAGGCAATTTCCAGAATTACTACGTTTAGAAACAATGGCCATGGTCAAGGTGGGGCTACCCTGTTATAGAATGCTGTGCAGGCCACCCTCTATGGCTGGGACATTGGCCAGAGGTTCCCTCTGATGTTGTGTACCTTGGGCAGAGAGTCCAGAAGAAATCGTGGGCTTAAGTGAGTCACAAAAAAAAGGCTTGCTTGTGCTTGATATCAGCTTGTAAAGGGTTACAAATGTTGTTTCCTGGAAAATCTGCCAGCATGTCTGCGTGTCCTTAGCCTTCCCTTTGTTCTCTTCTTTTCTTCTTACCCTTTCCTTCACTCTTACTCCCTCCTCTTCTTGCCTGAATACATTTTGAAAACAGTACTACAATGCTCCCTGCTTCAAGATTACAGTGTACTTTACTAGGTATGATTTAATTAGGGCCCTTATTATGTTTTCAGCAGCTTAAGGTGGGCCTTTCAACTTATCTACCTAATTGGTTGCACAAGAAGTTTCACAGCCCATGACAAAACATTGTCAGTGATCAAAGTCAAAATTCCGCATAAAGGAAAAATATTAATAATAAGATTATTCTTCAAGTGTGCACTGCTAATTATGTCCAGAATGTAACCGTAGAAACACTTTTGACTGATGTGAGCTTTGTCTAATAAACATGAATCTTCAGTGAGCTATGAAAAGTGACACCTCTAGCTTTATACTGGTGAAGGGTAATTTTGCTTATTAAATAATTTTTAAACATTTCCTATTTTGTGTCTCTTTCCTCTCCATTTGACTGTCCTTGCTCTTGCTCCTCAGGTGACCACTCCTGAGATGGTGATGCCCAGCAGCATGTTCCTTCCAGCAGCTGTTCCAGATCGAGATGGGAATTCCAGTTTGGAAGAGGCAGGAAAGCAGCCTGGTCAGTACCATTATTCTTGACCCTAAGAACCTGAAACAAGATGGAATGGCAAAATGTTCATGGAAAAGGGTTTTCAGGAATTCTTTACAATACTCTTAAGGTGAATGTAACTGATCAGGAGATGAGGGGCACTGTCATCAGCTACCTTATACTCTGGTTCTTGGCATTTATTTGTATATTACTCACATGGTTTAAAGTGAGAGAAAATCAGTATGACAACCAGTGGAATTTTGGCAGAGACACACATACATCCTCTTAGATTATACAATTACAGAGTGAATAAAAGACTCAAATCAATAGGCCCCACCATCCTAAGCCATTAAACACTGTATCATCTCTGAGGACTTAATTAGTAGGGACTTGTGGGTTGATTTTTAGGTACACTGGATTAGTTGTCTTTCGTTCTGAGTTTTCTGGGCTTGCCTTAGGATGAAGCACAGAAGTGCCATTGGAAAGAACATTGTTGTAGACATGTATGCTGCCATAGTTGGTGCCACATAGTATTTCCTAGCTAGATGGATGGTTAGACCTCTGTGAGGCTGTCCATCTTTCACCTCTAAGTTGGGAAGAGTTTGGGCACACTACTGCTCTGCCTCCTCTCTTTCTTGTGAGTTTTCCATCTTAGAAAATGGGCAAATGACCTGATGGTATGATTATCTCATTGTAGGAAAAAAATTTATATATTTTAAATGATTGAACACTTGTTCATTGTTTATACAATAGAGATGGCAATCAGAAGTCACAAGAAATTAAATGCCTGAAAATATGTATCCCCGAATTTCTTTTTTTTTGAAACAGTCTCACACTGTTGCCCAGGTTGTAGCGCAGTGGTGCGATCTGGGCTCACTGCAATCTCCGCCTCCTGAGTTCAAGCAACTCTCCTGCCTCAGCCTCCCGAGTAGCTGGGACTACAGGCATGTGCCACCATGCCCAGCTATTTTTTTGTGTGTTTTTAGTAAAGACAGGGTTTCACCATATTGGCCAGGATGATCTTGATCTCCTGACCTCGATAACTGCTCGCCTCGGCTTCCCAAAGTGCTGGTATTACAGGTGTGAGCCACTGCACCTGGCCCCTGAATTTCTTACATTACAGCATTCAGCAGTTCTTACAAAAAATTCCCTATAACTTAGGACAGCATTAATTCACATATTCTACACTTCAGATTTACTGTGCTAAATTCTTATTACATAAAAGATGAACATAAAAGGGAAATCCAGTCTAAGATCAGTAACCTTCAAACCAGTTCTTGAGAAATTGAGGATTCTGAGTCAAGCAATTAAATGCTATTTAAAAGACTGTTAGATCTGTGATATGACATGGGTCTATTATTCATTGAAACTTTTTGTATTTCCTTTTATTCATCTCTGTTCATGTGCACCCTGTTTATAATATGTGCTCTACTGGGGGAACAAAAGGAAGCAGGAGGCGCTCCACGGAGATTCTGTCATTCAGGTTGGGCACTTCCCTCTTCATCAGATTCTGTGTTCATGAGGCCTGGTTAGGTAGACCGCTCTGGGTGCCATCCTTGAAACAAAGCCTTCTTTATCTGTGGGTTTGATGTTTTTTTTTCCACAGAAACCTCAGAGGATCTGGGAAAGAACATCTTGCAATCCACAAGCACAGAGCAAAGCGGAGATTTGAAACCCTCCCCTGCCGACCCAGGCTCTGTGAGAGAAGACTCAGGCTTCCTCTGCTGGAAGAAGGGTTGCAACCAGGTTTTCAAAACTTCTGCTGCCCTTCAGACGCATTTCAATGAAGTGCATGCCAAGAGGCCTCAGCTGCCAGTGTCAGATCGCCATGTGTACAAGTACCGCTGTAATCAGTGTAGTCTGGCCTTCAAGACCATTGAAAAGTTGCAGCTCCATTCCCAGTACCATGTGATCAGAGCTGCCACCATGTGCTGTCTTTGTCAGCGCAGTTTCCGAACTTTCCAGGCTCTGAAGAAGCACCTCGAGACAAGCCACTTGGAGCTGAGTGAGGCTGACATCCAACAGCTTTATGGTGGCCTTCTGGCCAATGGGGACCTGCTGGCAATGGGAGATCCCACCCTGGCCGAGGACCATACCATAATTGTTGAGGAAGACAAGGAGGAAGAGAGTGACTTGGAAGATAAACAGAGCCCAACGGGCAGTGACTCTGGGTCAGTACAAGAAGACTCAGGCTCAGAGCCAAAGAGAGCTCTGCCTTTCAGAAAAGGTCCCAATTTTACTATGGAAAAATTCCTAGACCCTTCTCGCCCTTACAAGTGTACCGTCTGCAAGGAATCTTTCACTCAAAAGAATATCCTGCTAGTACACTACAATTCTGTCTCCCACCTGCATAAGTTAAAGAGAGCCCTTCAAGAATCAGCAACCGGTCAGCCAGAACCCACCAGCAGCCCAGACAACAAACCTTTTAAGTGTAACACTTGTAATGTGGCCTACAGCCAGAGTTCCACTCTGGAGATCCACATGAGGTCTGTGTTACATCAAACCAAGGCCCGGGCAGCCAAGCTGGAGGCTGCAGGTGGCAGTAGCAATGGGACTGGGAACAGCAGCAGTATCTCCCTGAGCTCCTCCACGCCAAGTCCTGTGAGCACCAGTGGCAGTAACACCTTTACCACCTCCAATCCAAGCAGTGCTGGCATCGCTCCAAGTTCCAACTTACTGAGCCAAGTGCCCACTGAGAGTGTAGGGATGCCACCCCTGGGGAATCCTATTGGTGCCAACGTTGCTTCCCCTTCAGAGCCCAAGGAGGCCAATCGGAAGAAACTGGCAGACATGATTGCATCCAGGCAGCAGCAGCAACAGCAGCAACAACAACAAGCACAAACCCTGGCCCAGGCCCAAGTTCAAGCTCACTTGCAGCAGGAGCTGCAGCAGCAGGCTGCCCTGATCCAGTCTCAGCTGTTTAACCCCACCCTCCTTCCTCACTTCCCCATGACCACTGAGACCCTGCTTCAGCTACAGCAGCAGCAGCACCTCCTCTTCCCTTTCTACATCCCCAGTGCGGAGTTCCAGCTCAACCCCGAGGTGAGCTTGCCAGTGACCAGTGGGGCACTGACGCTGACGGGGACGGGCCCAGGCCTGCTGGAAGATCTGAAGGCTCAGGTTCAGGTCCCACAGCAGAGCCACCAGCAGATCTTACAGCAGCAGCAGAACCAACTCTCTCTAGCCCAGAGTCACTCCACGCTCCTTCAGCCAAGCCAGCACCCAGAAAAGAAGAACAAATTGGTCATCAAAGAAAAGGAAAAAGAAAGCCAGAGAGAGAGGGATGGTGCCGAGGTGGCGGAGAGCAACACCGGTCCGAAGGAAACACAGCCAGATGCCTTGAAGGCCAAAGAGAAGAAAGAGTTGGCACCAGGGGGTAGTTCTGAGCCTTCCATGCTCCCTCCACGCATCGCTTCAGATGCCAGAGGGAATGCCACCAAGGCCCTGCTGGAGAACTTTGGCTTTGAGTTGGTCATTCAGTATAATGAGAACAAGCAGAAGGTGCAGAAAAAGAACGGGAAGACTGAGCAGGGAGAGAACCTGGAAAAGCTCGAGTGTGAGTCCTGTGGCAAGTTGTTTTCCAACATCTTGATTTTAAAGAGTCATCAAGAGCATGTTCATCAGAATTACTTTCCCTTCAAACAGCTCGAGAGGTTTGCCAAACAGTACAGAGACCACTACGATAAACTGTACCCACTGAGGCCCCAGACCCCAGAGCCACCACCACCTCCCCCTCCGCCCCCTCCACCCCCACTTCCGGCAGCGCCACCTCAGCCAGCGTCCACGCCAGCCATCCCTGTGTCAGCCCCACCCATTACCTCACCTACGATTGCACCGGCCCAGCCATCTGTGCCACTCACCCAGCTCTCCATGCCCATGGAGCTGCCCATCTTCTCGCCACTGATGATGCAGACGATGCCGCTGCAGACCTTGCCAGCTCAGCTGCCCCCACAGCTGGGACCTGTGGAGCCTCTGCCTGCGGACCTGGCCCAGCTGTACCAGCATCAGCTCAATCCAACCCTGCTGCAGCAGCAGAACAAGAGGCCTCGCACCAGGATCACGGATGATCAGCTCCGAGTCTTGCGGCAATATTTTGACATTAACAACTCCCCCAGTGAAGAGCAAATCAAAGAGATGGCAGACAAGTCCGGGTTGCCGCAGAAAGTGATCAAGCACTGGTTCAGGAACACTCTCTTCAAAGAGAGGCAGCGTAACAAGGACTCTCCTTACAACTTTAGTAATCCTCCTATCACCAGCCTGGAGGAGCTCAAGATTGACTCCCGGCCCCCTTCGCCGGAACCTCCGAAGCAGGAATACTGGGGAAGCAAGAGGTCTTCAAGAACAAGGTTTACGGACTACCAGCTGAGGGTCTTACAGGACTTCTTTGATGCCAATGCTTACCCAAAGGATGATGAATTTGAGCAACTCTCTAATTTACTGAACCTTCCAACCCGAGTCATAGTGGTGTGGTTTCAGAATGCCCGACAGAAGGCCAGGAAGAATTACGAGAATCAGGGAGAGGGCAAAGATGGAGAGCGGCGTGAGCTCACAAATGATAGATATATTCGAACAAGCAACTTGAACTACCAGTGCAAAAAATGTAGCCTGGTGTTTCAGCGCATCTTTGATCTCATCAAACACCAGAAGAAGCTGTGTTACAAGGATGAGGATGAGGAGGGGCAGGATGACAGCCAAAATGAGGATTCCATGGATGCCATGGAAATCCTGACACCTACCAGCTCCTCCTGCAGCACCCCGATGCCCTCACAGGCTTACAGCGCCCCAGCACCATCAGCCAATAATGCAGCTTCCTCCGCTTTCTTGCAGCTTGCAGTAGAGGCCGAGGACCTGGCCACCTTCAATTCAAAAACAGAGGCAAGCGATGAGAAACCAAAGCTGGTGGAAGCTCCCAGTACCCAGCCAAACCAAACCCAAGAAAAGCAAGGACAACCAAAGCCAGAGCTGCAGCAGCAAGAGCAGCCCGAGCAGCAGAAGACCAATACCCCACAGCAGAAGCTCGCCCAGCTGGCGTCCCTGCCTTCGCTGCCACAGCCTCCTCCGCAAGCACCCCCTCCGCAGTGCCCCTTACCCCAGTCGAGTCCCAGCCCTTCCCAGCTCTCCCACCTGCCCCTCAAGCCCCTCCACACATCAACTCCTCAGCAGCTGGCAAACCTACCTCCTCAGCTAATCCCTTACCAGTGTGACCAGTGTAAGCTGGCATTTCCATCATTTGAGCACTGGCAGGAGCATCAGCAGCTCCACTTCCTGAGTGCACAGAACCAGTTCATCCACCCCCAGTTTTTGGACAGGTCACTGGATATGCCTTTCATGCTTTTTGATCCCAGTAACCCACTCCTGGCCAGCCAGCTGCTCTCTGGGGCCATACCTCAGATTCCGGCAAGCTCTGCCACTTCTCCTTCAACTCCAACCTCCACGATGAACACTCTCAAGAGGAAGCTGGAGGAAAAGGCCAGTGCAAGCCCTGGCGAAAATGACAGTGGGACAGGAGGAGAAGAGCCTCAGAGAGACAAGCGTTTGAGAACAACCATCACACCAGAACAACTAGAAATTCTCTACCAGAAGTATCTACTGGACTCCAATCCGACTCGAAAGATGTTGGATCATATTGCGCACGAGGTGGGCTTGAAGAAACGTGTGGTGCAAGTCTGGTTTCAGAACACCAGAGCTCGGGAAAGGAAAGGACAGTTCCGGGCTGTGGGCCCAGCTCAGGCCCACAGGAGATGCCCTTTTTGCAGAGCGCTCTTCAAAGCCAAGACTGCTCTTGAGGCTCACATCCGGTCCCGTCACTGGCATGAAGCCAAGAGAGCTGGCTACAACCTAACACTGTCTGCGATGCTCTTAGACTGTGATGGGGGACTCCAGATGAAAGGAGATATTTTTGACGGAACTAGCTTTTCCCACCTACCCCCAAGCAGTACTGATGGTCAGGGTGTCCCCCTCTCACCCGTGAGTAAAACCATGGAGTTGTCACCGAGAACTCTTCTTAGCCCTTCCTCCATTAAGGTGGAAGGGATTGAAGACTTTGAAAGCCCTTCCATGTCCTCAGTTAATCTAAACTTTGACCAAACTAAGCTGGACAACGATGACTGTTCCTCCGTCAACACAGCAATCACAGATACCACAACTGGAGACGAGGGCAATGCAGATAACGACAGTGCAACGGGAATAGTAACTGAAACCAAATCCTCTTCTGCACCCAATGAAGGGTTGACCAAAGCGGCCATGATGGCAATGTCTGAGTATGAAGATCGGTTGTCATCTGGTCTGGTCAGCCCTGCCCCGAGCTTTTATAGCAAGGAATATGACAATGAAGGTACAGTGGACTACAGTGAAACCTCAAGCCTTGCAGACCCCTGCTCCCCAAGTCCTGGCGCTAGTGGATCTGCAGGCAAATCTGGTGACAGCGGGGATCGGCCTGGGCAGAAACGTTTTCGCACTCAAATGACCAATCTGCAGCTGAAGGTCCTCAAGTCATGCTTTAATGACTACAGGACACCCACTATGCTAGAGTGTGAGGTCCTGGGCAATGACATTGGACTGCCAAAGAGAGTTGTTCAGGTCTGGTTCCAGAATGCCCGGGCAAAAGAAAAGAAGTCCAAGTTAAGCATGGCCAAGCATTTTGGTATAAACCAAACGAGTTACGAGGGACCCAAAACAGAGTGCACTTTGTGTGGCATCAAGTACAGCGCTCGGCTGTCTGTACGTGACCATATCTTTTCCCAACAGCATATCTCCAAAGTTAAAGACACCATTGGAAGCCAGTTGGACAAGGAGAAAGAATACTTTGACCCAGCCACCGTACGTCAGTTGATGGCTCAACAAGAGTTGGACCGGATTAAAAAGGCCAATGAGGTCCTTGGACTGGCAGCTCAGCAGCAAGGGATGTTTGACAACACCCCTCTTCAGGCCCTTAACCTTCCTACTGCATATCCAGCGCTCCAGGGCATTCCTCCCGTGTTGCTCCCCGGCCTCAACAGCCCCTCCTTGCCAGGCTTTACTCCATCCAACACAGGTGGGTTCTGCTCCAGGGGATTGTTTCAGAGGTGAATAGCTGCCCATTCAGCATTCCGTTATGTGGCTACCACCCAGACCCTCTGAGTGCTGGGCAGGTGGGAAGCTTCTCTTTCTAGTTCTCTAAAAGCAACAAGACTTGAGTTTGCTTAAGTCTTGACACACACTGCTGGTGTGTCAGGGGTGGGACCTTCTGGTTGGAGCAGTCTCCTTTGAAACCTCTCTTACACCCTACAATAGGGAAAAGCTTGAGGGTCCTGGTATACTAATTTCTGGAATATTTCAAGAAATAAGTTTCTATCATACACCCTTTCATGCAGTCCTTGTGGAAATGCTGATCCTGTCTGGATATTTGTTGTAAATATAAGACACCTGAATTAGTCATAGCTAATTCTGGATTATGCCCTAAGAAAACTGGTCTAAGAGCATTTAAATCAACTCTTCGCCCTCACCTAGGGTCCCTGCCTTCTCGAGAGCGCTACTGTGGCTGAAGAACTGCTATCAGAAAGAAGCTTTCATGTGGTGGATCCTTACTGTTGGAGTTTTCTCTTAACCAGCCAGAACAATAGTGGCTGTTAGTTTCTAACAAGACGACCTTTTTACTTGAATGCATTGACCAGGGATCTTGTATTGGGGAACATGGTTCTATTAAAGTACTGCTGCATATTTCAGAGGTCCTCAGTCACCTCTTTTTTTTTTTTTTTCCTTTTGCCCATTTCCCTTTCCTTGCTCCTGATCATTCAGAATCATACATACTTGGTGCTCTTACAGTCTCACTTAATAAGGAGTTTTGCAGCTTTTCCTACATACCTCTCTTGTTTCTCCTTCTCTGTCCTCACATCTTCTCTGGATCCAGCCATCTTTGCTAAATTGGACCTTCACCTCCAGGGTCCTGCAAGGATTAGACACAAGTCAGCCAATTCCCCTGACAATGGCCTGAATTGATTACTTCCCGTTCACCAAAGGAGAACCGCTCCAAAAGCCACCTTGCCTTCAAAATGTGTTCCTGTTACCTGGGGTTAAAGCAGCTCTCCTGCTTCCCACAGCAGTCCTAGTTTCTGGTTGAATTAGCTCCACATTTTACATTTTGTGTGGTATCTTACCAAACATGAGCCTACTGCATTCCTGGTCCCTGTTTCTTACTCAATTAAGAATAAGTTGTTGTTGCTTATATGTGTTGACAAGTCATGTCACAGAAAACCAGCTACACATAGCCAGGAAAAAAACTACAGAAACTAGCGAAGCACTTAGTTATCCCTGTAGCCCAGGACCTTGGCAGAGGGGCTTGGGAAGGTTTGACACATCACAGTAATGTGAAAAAAGTAGAATCAGAATGTCTGATTTATTCCCCTTGTTTTACAGATGAGAAAACTGAGGCCCAGAGAGGTCAAGACCATTCAACGAGCTAGGGTAGGAGCTAGAGCTCCCACCCAGGCCTCCGGGCTCCCAGTGCTATGTCCTTCCACAACACCCAATATGAGCCAGTCAGTCAACAGGTATATGTTTAGTGTTACTCAGGTTCTGACCACTTAGCGTGGACTCAAGCTAGAAAGATATGCTCTTATTCAGGGCAGCCAGACTGCCCCAGTTCATCATCTGACTGTAACATTGTTCTCAAGAGCACTGGATCTGGAATGGGAGGGAAGGAATGAACTTGTATTTATTAAGCATCTATTATAGGTCAGGCCCAATGGTAAGCTTTTTCTATGAATATGGTATTCCATTTAATTCTTGTAACCATCTGTTGTGGAAAGCTGAGGTTCCAGGAGTTCAACTGACGGGCCCAGGGTCACACATCTGATGTGTGTTACCATAATTCCACAGGGCCCGTGTGATTCCAGAGTTGTATGAGTAAGTCTTGGGGGAACAAGGAGGTCACAGAGTTGTGAGTGTGTTGAGCTACTGTAGCATGGCTAGGGCAGGGCTTGGTAAATAGTAGAGATTCGTGAAATCTCTTAAAATTTGAACCTCTTATATAGACCATCAGTTGAAGGTACACAGTTTAAGGCTTTCTGACCTGAATCTTTCTCCTAAAAGCCTGAAGCCATGGAGATGGGGAAATCTCTAGATATTCCTTCCTTGCCCCACTGATCTTTTCGTTCTGGCCCCAAACCTAAAACTTAGAAGGCCCATTGCCTAGTGGAGACAGAGCCATGTCCCAAGTTTAGAACTCATAATCTACTCTGTCTCGTTTGTGCCAATTTAATCAAGTTTTTACTAAGCTTTTTGGAGTAGAGTCACACATATCTTCTCTGGTGTCTTATGTGCACTGAGGACACTGGATGATGTGATGCTGAAGGAATCTTCCTCCTTGGCTATCCCATATTAATGGAGATTTATCGGATTGGCAACTTGAAGCAGTCTTGTTCTTTTCATCTGAAATATGAGAGTTTTGATAGTGAACACGGTGCCTCGATAGCCAGAAATCAGCAGTCTTCCCCCAGATCTGGGCTTCAGAGTGTTTTTTTCTCAGGGTTATGTTATGGAACTCCTTCTCCAGCTTTCTGGCAGAGTGGTCCAGATGAAATACTGAAGGGCTTTAGGACTGTTTTGATTTTGCATTTTGGTGTCCTCTGAAGAGATGTATATACCATCTAGTTTCTTGGATGTGGTGAATACAGAGGTGTTGCCTGTGGGATCCTCTTTTCTTTTCTCAGCTTCCATCATCCAGCACACTCTGCACCCCACCCCTCATGGTGTCTTTCCCTGCTGTCTTGCTAGTCTCAACATACCTGAAGCTTGGAGTACCATCCGTGGCAACACCCTCTTCCATTACCTTGGAACTGAAGACTTAAACCAGGAGATAGCTATGGGTCAGGGGAGGGTATTAGGCTCTAGGGTCAGTGAAGGTGTTGCAGGGAGTGGTGGTAGATTAGGGGTGAGTATGATAAAGGATGGGGCCTAGTCCATGAGGGCCTGGTGACACGGTCAGAGACCTTTGCTATCCATAGACAGTGGTGCTTCGAGTAGGTTGTGATGTGTTAGAAATTGGTGTCAGTACCTTGGGCTATTCCGTTTGTGACATGGCTTTTCTCCTTTCCCTGTGGTGGCTTCTCAACCATCTACAGTTCTATTGGCCTTCCTATCATTCAAACAGGCAGGAAGAGAAGGTGGTCATTTCTCCAGTAGTCTCCAGAATCGTATGCCTAGATGGTTACACTGTTCAATAGACTTGTTGAAGTAGATCAGCTGGGCCAAGGCACTGGAGCAGTTTTCCCTGAATGGATTCTTATTTCTTCCCAGGCCCTTCCTCCATACTTTCCCATTCACCTCTTCTCTTTACCCTCCCAAAGCATCCAGTCAGCTGCTGCAACAGAGGTCAGAGAGGAGGAACACATGTGAAGCCTGTTTTGCTTCTTCATGTGGCCTTGGGCCCTTACTAGCTTTCTTGCCTTTGTTCTTTTCTCCCTTCTCCTGTTGCCTGTCTCCTCCAGGTAACTTCTCTGGGCCTCATGGCCATACTCTTTCTGTGATGCTTTGGTAAAGGCCTTTGGTGCAAATGGGCCCCAGCTAGAAACAGCTAGCTTTGGGGCCTCCAGACTAATTGCAATTGGGTAGAGTGAATGGTAGGTGGGAGTGCTTGGCTAAGAAAATGTGAACTAGCAGGTGTGGCACATTGGGCAGGAAGGTGCTGGAAGTATATTGGCTGGAAGGAGGAGTATGGGAGCTGACCCAGGACTGAGTCCTCATTAGAATACAGGCTGTCCAGCCCTGAGCTTGATGGGATACTTCTGTTGTAAACATTGGTTTTGAGAGGAGTCTTCAAGCCTTGACATCTCAGACTGTGTGCCAGTGACACTGGTAAAATGTCTTGAGCTTCAGCCCTACCCACGCGCAGACTGACTGGTGATTTCTGTTTCTGTCTCCATTCCTTTCAGCTTTAACGTCTCCTAAGCCGAACTTGATGGGTCTGCCCAGCACAACTGTTCCTTCCCCTGGCCTCCCCACATCTGGATTACCAAATAAACCGTCCTCAGCGTCGCTGAGCTCCCCAACCCCAGCACAAGCCACCATGGCGATGGCCCCTCAGCAACCCCCCCAGCCCCAGCAGCAGCCACAGGTGCAGCAGCCTCCCCCGCCGCCAGCAGCCCAGCCGCCACCCACACCACAGCTCCCACAGCAACAGCAGCAGCAACGGAAGGACAAAGACAGTGAGAAAGTAAAGGAGAAGGAAAAGACACACAAAGGGAAAGGGGAACCCCTGCCTGTCCCCAAGAAGGAGAAAGGAGAGGCCCCCACGGCAGCTGCAGCCACGATCTCAGCTCCGCTGCCCACCATGGAGTATGCGGTGGACCCCGCACAGCTGCAGGCCCTGCAGGCAGCCTTGACTTCGGACCCCACAGCGTTGCTCACAAGCCAGTTCCTTCCTTACTTTGTACCGGGCTTTTCTCCTTATTATGCTCCCCAGATCCCTGGCGCCCTGCAGAGCGGGTACCTGCAGCCTATGTATGGCATGGAAGGCCTGTTCCCCTACAGCCCTGCACTCTCGCAGGCCCTGATGGGGCTGTCCCCGGGCTCCCTACTGCAGCAGTACCAGCAATACCAGCAGAGTCTGCAGGAGGCAATTCAGCAGCAGCAGCAGCGGCAACTACAGCAGCAGCAGCAGCAGCAGCAAAAAGTGCAGCAGCAGCAGCCCAAAGCAAGTCAAACCCCAGTCCCCCCGGGGGCTGCTTCCCCAGACAAAGACCCTGCCAAAGAATCCCCCAAACCAGAAGAACAGAAAAACGCCCCCCGTGAGGTGTCCCCCCTCCTGCCGAAACCCCCTGAAGAGCCAGAAGCAGAAAGCAAAAGTGCAGACTCCCTCTACGACCCCTTCATTGTTCCAAAGGTGCAGTACAAGTTGGTCTGCCGCAAGTGCCAGGCGGGCTTCGGCGACGAGGAGGCGGCGAGGAGCCACCTGAAGTCCCTCTGCTTCTTCGGCCAGTCTGTGGTGAACCTGCAAGAGATGGTGCTTCACGTCCCCACCGGCGGCGGCGGCAGTGGCGGCGGTGGTGGCGGCGGCGGCGGCTCGTACCACTGCCTGGCGTGCGAGAGCGCGCTCTGTGGGGAGGAAGCTCTGAGTCAACATCTCGAGTCGGCCTTGCACAAACACAGAACAATCACGAGAGCAGCAAGAAACGCCAAAGAGCACCCTAGTTTATTACCTCACTCTGCCTGCTTCCCCGATCCTAGCACCGCATCTACCTCGCAGTCTGCCGCTCACTCAAACGACAGCCCCCCTCCCCCGTCGGCCGCCGCCCCCTCCTCCGCTTCCCCCCACGCCTCCAGGAAGTCTTGGCCGCAAGTGGTCTCCCGGGCTTCGGCAGCGAAGCCCCCTTCTTTTCCTCCTCTCTCCTCATCTTCAACGGTTACCTCAAGTTCATGCAGCACCTCAGGGGTTCAGCCCTCGATGCCAACAGACGACTATTCGGAGGAGTCTGACACGGATCTCAGCCAAAAGTCCGACGGACCGGCGAGCCCGGTGGAGGGTCCCAAAGACCCCAGCTGCCCCAAGGACAGTGGTCTGACCAGTGTAGGAACGGACACCTTCAGATTGTAAGCTTTGAAGATGAACAATACAAACAAATGAATTTAAATACAAAAATTAATAACAAACCAATTTCAAAATAGACTAACTGCAATTCCAAAACACCAAACAAAAAAACAAAAAAAAAAACAAAAAAAAAAAAACAAAAAACAAAAAAAAAAAGAAAAAAAAGAAAAAGCGTGGGTTGTTTTCCCATATACCTATCTATGCCGGTGATTTTACATTGTCTTTTTTTCTTTTAATATTTAAAAAAAAAAAATGCCCTAACCCTGTTGCATTGTGTCCTTTTGAAGGTACTATTGGTCTGGGAAACAAGTCCGCAGGGCCTCCCTAATGTCTTTGGAGCTTAAACCCCTTGTATATTTGCCCCTTTTCAATAAACGCCCCACGCTGATAGCACAGAGGAGCCCGGCATGCACTGTATGGGAAAGCAGTCCACCTTGTTACAGTTTTAAATTTCTTGCTATCTTAGCATTCAGATACCAATGGCTTGCTAAAAGAAAAAAAGAAATGTAATGTCTTTTTATTCTCAGGTCAATCGCTCACACTTTGTTCTGTTTTCAGAATCATTGTTTTATATATTTTTCAGTTTTTTTTTTTTTTTTTTTTTTTTAGAAAAGATTTTTTGTTTTGCTAATTTAAAAACGGGCAGAAAGTATTCGAGAAAAACAATGTGAACTGCTTTAGCTTTCTGGGGATTTTTAACGATAGCTTTTCTGCTGAAGCCAATTTCAAGGGGAAAAGTTAAGCACTCCCACTTTCAGAAAAAAAAAAAACCCACATACACAAAGAGTGTTGAGGACTTGTAGCTTAAAAAAATAAGTTTTAAAAACTGACTTTCTGTATTTATGATAGCTATGACCATTTTTGGTGTTGAGTAGATTGTTGCATTGGAAATGAACTGAAGCAGTATGGTAGATTTAAAAGGAAAAAAAAAAAACCTTTTGTGTACATTTAGCTTTTTGTATGGTCCAGCTGACAGCTCCTCATTTGATGTTGTCTTGTTCATTCCTAGCAAATAGATTGCAATCCGTTGATTCGCCTAAGCTTTTCTCCCCTTTGTCCCTTAATTCCACTTTCTCTTTCCTTGTCCCACCTCCCATATCCTATAATCTCCCACTTAAGGTAGCTGCCTTCATTTCTTAGAGGGAGCTGCAGAATTATTTTATAAAACTAAAGAAAGAATTTCAAGGGATTCTAGGGGTCATTAGGATCCTCACAGATTATTTTTGGTTGGGGAGTTGAAACTTTTTAAAGGCATATAATCATAGTTACCTGTGTCTGTTAGCCTTGTGCATTTATTTTTTATTTACCCTTCTTTTGGCTTTTCTTTGTACCCCTTCTTTTCCTCCTTGTTTGGTAGATGCTTCAAATATTCTTTTCCTATACTAAAGCATTTGTTTCCATTTGTGTAATTGGCTGTGTACTTTTCTTTTCTAAAAAAGTTTTTGGTTAGGGATTTGGTTTTTGGTTTTGTGTTTGTTTTTTCTTTCCTCTCTCAGAAAAAGAAATTTCATGCTTTAAATAAAATCCAAAGACACACCCTTTCACTGCTGGTGCAGAAAAAAGGGAAAGGGTTCTTGTTACTTGAGAATTTGTTTCTGATTTAAACAAACAAGACTTAGTTTAATAAAAGAAAGAGAAAAACAAAAGATTCCCAGGTTGTTATGTGCTTCTTCTGCACGCAGAGGGGCAACTGTTAATGACAATTCCATATACCAAAAGACACATTTTTTACTTCAAAGTTTTGTCCTTGTGTTAGGCAGTCTGAGCGGCGAGTGATCCAGAGCGCAGCCAACAAAGCAGCAGATAGCAACGTACAGAAAGCAAAAAAGGAATCGTATGTGAGGCACTTGTTTATGTTAATATCCATGTTCCTGTAACACACAACGCAACACACAACCTTTCTCATGTAAAAAAAATAAACGGTCTGAACTTTGAAAACTTTGTGCTGCTAAAACAACATAGATTTTGGAGACAAATAGATACTTTGCTGTTTCACTTTCATAGCCAAACATCAAGAGAAACCATCTCCCCTTGCCCCTAAAGTGTAAAATCCTTCTCCCCTTCATTTTCTTCCTTATGTTTCAAAAGGGAACTTTGAAGACTGTGAATGCAGGTTCCATTGGTCATCTTTCGGGCTTCTTTCCCCAGTGCTGAAGCCACTCATCGACTTTGCAAAAGACTGGAGCATTCCAAGATCTGAAAATGGATTTTTTTCTTTTTTTCTTTTTTAGCCGGGACTATTTTATTTTTATGAATTTGTTTTTAGTTTAATGAAATAGTAGATCCTGAAATGTTGTACATATTTCTAACTAGGCTGATGCACAGTGCAAATTCCTTTTTTAATTGTTTTTTTTTTTAAGTAGAAATACTAAATACCATCTAACTATTCATACCAGTATCCAGTTGTAGCATAAGGTGTCAAAAGCAAGTACGCAAAACATTTACTGTTTTAACAAGCTGTTTCCTTTTAACAAGAAATCTTATATTTCTCCCTGTGTTTGAGATGAACATTTTTAAATTTTAAAGTTGTACAGTTTTTTGTTTTCCATTATTTTATCTTGTTTGTAACTCTATGAAATATATATATATTTTCTGCCATTTAACTGTTGTATGTTACTCTGTGTCTGTACCATATAGAAAAAAAAAATTTGTTTTTGGTTCTCTATGTGATATCAGTTAACAATTTAACACTAGCTTTACCTGACAAATTCTGCTAGGTCTTTTCTGAAACGTTGTTTTTAAAAATGATTGATATTGCTTGGTAATAGTGCAATTTCTATCCCTTTCCCTCCCCCCTCAACTTTTAAGTTCTTTTCTTTATAATTTTTATGCCCCTCCCTGATGGTTTGGGTTTTTTTTGTGGGGGGGAGCTACCATGCCATCCTCCCTCTGTGAGGCAGAGTGACTGTCAAGTGTTTTGTTACATCATGCCTTGAGCTGTGGGTGTGTTTGGCGACAATAAGATGGTTGAATAGATTGGCTGAGCACGCTTCCACCCACCCAGTGTTCTCAGAGGGGCTATGTGATTGTTTCAGCCTGGAGTGGGTTGCACCCTTAATGCTTTTCTCTACAACTCTACCGCCCACGTACATGTTCATTCAAAAAAGCAAGAAAAATTCTCAGCACTAACCCAGAAGTAGCAAAGCAGTCAGTGATGGTGAACATTAGAGGTCAAACATGAGTTAGATGTTTGTGGGCTGACAGCCACCGTGGCTATGACCAGTACTATTCACAAAGCAAGAGTTCACTACAATGCTCAACTGTTTAGATTGATCTCACTCGGGGAATTTATTCCTGTCTGCTGCATCGTAGGTAGCTGGGTAGGATATATTTCCACTAGCTTTCTAATTAGTTATTCACCTCCATTGACACTTATTTTTTGGTTTTCTCCCTATAGTGTGGGTTGGTGCTAGACACCAGTCTGTCATAGCCCCATACTGACCCACAGAATGAGAGTTACATCACCCATCTTTTCTCCATCCTTCCAAAAACCACACCTCTACACAAGGAAAAGTTTAATACATCTAGGAATTTTTTTTAATTAAAAGGTAAAGAGATGAATGTGGCCAAAGTTTTACACAACTGAAAATAAAGTAAAACAGACGGCATGTGTTTAAACCTGAGTTTATCAGGCATGGCAGGAAGTTGCAGGAGAGAGAGGCAGTGACCCAAGCCAGTGCACTTGATGTTCATGGACATATATTTTTTTTAAATAATAAATTAAAACATTTTAAATAGAAGCATAAATTGAGTTGGATATTTGTTGGCGCCGAGATACTGCCCACTGTGAAACAAAGCTTTGACTAGTTTTTTTTGTTTGTTTGTTTACTTTCTTCAGGGGGGAGGGGGGCAACTTTGGGTAGGAAAGAAAGCATAAATGAACGTGACCCTGAGGTGAAGAGGTATATGAACAGCCTTTGCAATGTACAAAAAGAAAAAAAACAAAAAACAAAAAAAATAGAGCAAGTGAAACCAAAAATGATGTTCTTGGTGTTTTTCTATAATGTAGTCTTGTTAGCTTTTTTGTTACTGTAACAATGCTGATCTCGAACTGTACCAAAATACATGGAGACTAACAAACAGAACCACATGGAACTTTCAAACTGAAAAAAAAATTTGTCACAAAAACTTTGTTGTCATAGTTAAGTTGATTGTAGATGGTAATTGAATATACTCCTTTGAAAATATTTCATCAAGTATGTTTCCTGCTCATTGTGATACATTAAAAAAATATGAGCAAAAGTTCTGTCTCCGTTACCACATTTGTGCATAAGCATGTGTGTGTGCATGAGAGAGAGACTGATGGCTGGCAAAGTATAAATATGAATACCTTGAGGTTGTATGTGCAGGGAGTACTTATCCCAATGTACACAAGGATGTACACAAGCTCTTAAAGTGTTTCTAAAGACACTTGTATATCCTATCTCCTAGGGCTCATGAATGTCAGAAGTCTGGGCCATGATGCTGTCTACTTTATTGGGAGGGGTAAGCCTGACATCTTAGACAATACTTGGCCCCAGAGTGCCCTAATACCAACTAGATTTTTAATTCAAATGTTTACATGAAAGTTTTAGATGCTTGACACAATTACAGGTAAAAGAGTTTTACTGATAGCCAGGAGACAGGTAGGTTCAACTTTTTTGAAACAGGAATTGGATCTAGCGTTTATGACAGAAGGATATGAACAGTAAGTTGAACTAAGTGGATTACTGACTACACTTACCTGTCCTCCAAAGGACTTTTCTAAACTTCTGTTAGAGCAGAATTTGAGAGAGGCCCATTCCGTATAACACCAGTATCAGTAATGTCTGCATATAAGAGACAACTTGGTCCTCTTGCCAGAAACCCTCCCCTACCACAGCAAATGCCTGAACTTTACTAATAAGGAGTATCTCTAAGATCAGGCCTGAA